CCTGGCACTGCTCACCTGGCTCTGCTCCCGACAGCGAGCCCCGTCCAGGTGGCAGCGGAAGGAGGCCAGCACAAAATACGCCGCCGCTCTCATGCTGGGGTCGTAGCTGCTCAGGGCAGCCACGGTGAGACCCAGGGCACTGACTTCCACAAACTTGTGACAGGCCACCACGCACTCTGAGGGGATGGGAGAGAAGCAGAGAGCAGCCTGTGTTAGCACTGACAGTCCAGGGTGTGTCACAGCACTCGAACCCCTCACACCCCTGGCCATGGGCACCCATTCCTGGCTCTACCCCACAAACTGCGACCTCAGGCCACGGAGGCTCCTCCAGCTCACAGAGGGCTCCAGCAATTCCCTCTGAGCAGGAATTCTCTACCTGAGCTGAAATGCACGGGGCTGCTCTCATTTATTGAGACAGGGACGATCCTGCCCACCGGGCCATGCAAAGTTGGGGTAAATTCTGTACACACATCTTTGTGTCTCACTGTGTCAGGGAAGCTGAGTACAAAGAACAACCAGAGGGAAAATTCATCTCTCCAGAGCATTACAGGGTGCCTGAAAAAGCAGCACTAAAAAGCTCTTGCACAGAAAGGATGGGAGAGTAACACATGAACAGCCCATAAAGCACAGCAGGTGTCCCTGTGCAGGCACAAGTGACTCTGGTGGTCAGGCCTGCCCTGAGCCCTTCCAGGTAAAACAAAATCCAGCAATGAGCAGAGATCAGCCCCAGAGCAAGCAGGAAGCACACACTGCAGCATTCAGCCTTCACAGCATTTTGCCGTCAGGATCTGGGGTTTCTCCTCTGAGGGCTCCTGCTCTGTGTGCTTTGGATGTGTTTGCTGCCATCTGCACTCACTGATGGCTGGAAATGACTGCGTGTGAACGTCCCACCTCACCTCCAGGCATGGAGCCCCACGGCACCTCAGGGGTGTTTTACAGCTACAAATGTACACAAGTTTAGCAATAATATTCATGGATTTTCTTGTCATTCACACTGAAGGTCAGGAGGAAGTTTCTAAAACAAACATTCCTATTTAAGAAGGAAGGGGCTGCAATCTTATTGCCAAGCACCCACATGTGGCCCACTGATTTCCTCCTCTATCACTGCCCACACAGACTAGTGTGTGTGTAAATATGTGTGTATAAACATGTACATGTGTGTATGTGTGCATGTATGTATTTATATATATAAAACCACGTTTAAATAATCACAGATTATTTCTGTCCCTGTACCAGCACCTGGGCTATTTCTCTCATCTCTTTCTCTACTGCTAGAACTACTAAAACCCAATTTCATGCCTGGCAGTTTCCCACTGCCAGCTCAAGCAGAGTCTCCAGTTGCCCCCAGCCCTGCCATCTGTCCCAGGGCCAGCACTCTGCTCCCTCAGGCTGCAGCCCTGCTGCTGGTGTGAACCCACCATTCCCAATGGGGCAGAGGGCCACAGGATGAAACCCAAGATTCTCACTTCAGCAGGCCACAGGAAGATTTATTTGGAAAACTTGCCTTCAATGAAAGCATGCAGTGGTAATATTTTCCATCCTGCTGCCCTTGGACAATATGTTCAAAAACTGACATAAAATAACAAGCTTTTATTAGAAAAGCACCCCAATTTAATTCTATGTCTGACATAGAGCTTATTTAAAGGACCTTGAGAACCAGGATGGAAAAGCTTTCCATAAGATGCTTATCAGAGCTAAAGATAGACAGAACTTGCTATCTGCCCAGCCCCAGATTTGCTTTTTCCTCAGCAAGCACTGAGCACTGTGCAACAAGTCCATGTTTATGCATTCTGATGGCAGTGTGCAGCCAGCACAAAGAGCAAACAAATAAAGAACTGGGAGTTCCAAGAGCAGCTGACGTGGTTTACAGGCACCCTGGGACTGGGACCCATCAATCACTTGGGCCCTTCCCAATGCCCCTCTCAGGACACAGACTCTCACTCTCTCTGTGTGGAGAAGCTCAGAGGGCTATTTTCTCCTCTCCACATGCAGAGCTGAGTCATGTCAGACAGAACCCTGCTGACAGTCCAGAGCACCAGCCCACTTGTGAAACACACTGGCCCCATGCCCATCTGTCTGGTGGAAAATGAGCTGGCTGAAGTTTCTCTGTTCTGCACAGGCCAGATCTCCAGCCAGTCCAGCCACAGCCCTCACAGCAGGTTGTTTTTCCCCCCAAAGTCAGGCACCAATTCCTGGCAGTATTGGCTCTTGGATCAGGGATAACAGCGCTCCAGGGGCAGCTCTGCAGCAGAGCAACCTGACACTGAACATCGAGCAGAAACACTAAATACCAAACAGAAACACTAAATACCAAAGAGAAACACGCACTGTACCTGGCCTGGTCAGTTCACTGAAGAGCTGAAGCAGAAAACAAGGATCATAGAAGTCATCAAGGCTCTTCACTGTTTCATCTTTATATAGTGACTCTTGTATCCCCTGAAAGCAAATCCAAACCAGCATTTGTAAGGAACAGCACCAATTTCAAGCTTGGTTTCAAACTTCCACAACCACCTCATCCCACTACAAACCCCTTGATACTGCACCTTGTAAAATACAATGCACCACAGGGTGAGACATGCTTGTGTTCAAACCTGGCTTTCACTGTGAGAGCACACCCACAACTATTTCCCTTGAGCAGCACCAACAGCAATCCAGCAAACTGTAAGGCAGGCTGGAGAGCCAGTGGGTCCTTGGGCTGTGCAATCCTGGTCTCACATACATGACAACCTCTGCAATGCACTATCTCCCTGCTGACAGGACGTGGCCTGTATCCTGCAATTACTCTGCAGAACTAATCCCTCCTATGAACTGAAATTACTGTCCTGAAGGGAACAAACTGCTGTGTGTTACAGGGGGGCCAGCCATGAGTGGCATAAACGACTCTCCTGATGGAAACAAACCGCCATGGGTTACAGGGGTGCCAGCATGAACGGCTCAAGGGCGTTCCTGCCTCTCCAAGAAGGGAACCATGGACAGGCTGACCCCAGAGCACCTGTGATGGCAGCAGCCGGCGGTGCTGAGGGAACGACAGGATCGTCCTCATCATCTTCTCCCGATCCAGCAGACACAGAATCTCCTCCATGCTGGGCTGCTGCCACAGGGACTTCCCCAGACTCTTGCACGTCTTGTGATGCTCCACAGCGGCTGGACCCCACAGCAGGATCCTGAAACATTGTTAAAGGCAAACACATTAGGCAGGAGAACCGAAATTTTGTATTCACTTGTGGTTAGTACCCTGTGGCACTTGAAACTGTAACTTGTTTCCCTGGCAACACCTTTTCCATCCATCCCAAAGCCTCGCAAATTTAGTCTGTGTCTCATCCTGCCCTCCCCGGTCCATCCAAGTCAGATGTGCCCACTCAGAGGCACCTGTGGATTCAGGCTGTAAGTGCAGGTAAGAGTGACAGCAGCTGCATGAAGGGACAGGGATCCAGAGCTGCCTCAGCTGCCTGAGCCAGTGCTCTGCACTGCTGGAGCCATTTCTGCTCCTGCCTCGAGACAGCAAAGTGCATGTGAGGGAGGCAGGCCAAACCACAAGTGTTGGCAGCAGGCTTTCCTGTGGACTGCCTGGGCACAGGAAAGGGAAAAGTCCACTAGAGACTTATGTTGCAGACTTATGTTTCTCCCATCTGTGAGAAGACCCCTATAAGTGAGCCCCAATTCTGGAGAGTGACTGACCCCAGAAATGAGACATTGCCTCATCTAACCCACAGACACACAGAGTCTGGGCAACAGAAGAGAATTACATTAAAAATAGGAAATGAGTAGCACAAGTGTTTCCAAAAGTAACATTCATCTTTAGGTTGCACCTTGTTCACTGTCTCCTTAATTTAAAAATGAGACCCTGGAAAATACCAGTTGAGAGACTCCCTGTGTGTAGTTTGCCCAGCAAAGGAAAGTGTTCAGCTCACCTGGAGTTGATAAGACTTTGATTATTCTTCTCATACAGCTGAAGCAGCAGCAGTATCTTCTGATCTGAAACCCAAGATGGAACCCCAAGTTAGTGGCCTGTGGACACAAGGACCAGCTGCAGAAGGGGGTGCCCCCAGCAGTGACGCTCACCTGTGGTGCTCAGCGTGGCCCCGTAGGCTCCCAGCAGCACGGGGAGGTGGCTGCTGTCACACAGAGAGGGGCTGAGCTGCACAGCCGTCAGCAGGATGTCCACCAGAGCCTCTGCAATGAGCAATGAGCACAGCCTGAGCCTGCAGCTCCTGCAGCACAGAGCGCGCAAATAACACCGCAACACCCCTCCAGATGGGTGCACACACAGCACAAACCAGCACCCCAACACACACAGCACAAACCAACACCCCAACACCCCTCCAGATGGGTGCACACACAGCACAAACCAACACCCCAACACACACAGCACAAACCAACACCCCAACACACACAGCACAAATAACACCCCAACACACACACACAGCACAAACCAACACCCCAACACACACAGCACAAACCAGCACCCCAACACACACACAGCACAAACCAACACCCCAACACACACAGCACAAATAACACCCCAACACACACAGAGCACAAACCAACACCCCAACAGCCCTCCAGATGGGTGCACACACAGCACAAACCAACACCCCAACACACACACACAGCACAAACCA